TCCTGGTAAAAGCAAGGACTGTAGTCTATAAAGCCTAAAGTCTGCTTTCCATCACTGGTACATAGATTTGAACATGTTTTAACATTGACCATGCTGACAGAAAAGCTCTTAGTTATTCTAAACCAGTATAAAAAGTCTTTCCATGCATAGGCAAGTTTTTGTTTATTTACATTTTCAAAGCTAGACAAATCTTCAGCTGTATTGTTCACGATCATTGAAATTGCATTTCCCTATTTTTTTGTGGGTTTTGCAGAAAGAATACAGTGGATTAGGAGCATTGTTGAGTGCCATCAGTATTATGCACCACTTTCTTTTGATATAAAGTTCTTTAATACTACCTTCACACTGTATTCAGGGATAAGTATGATTCTTCTTAGTGCTAGACCTCCTTCCCAAATACATGTTATTTACACTTTCCTCCCTTGGAACAAAAATAACTGCCATTGTGCAAGGTACTGCTTTTAAGAGCATGAAACTTTTCAGTAGATGTTCTTTTCTTTGTGATACTTCTTTCAAAGAAAAACTAATGCAATTTTGGGAGATGGGGAATGGTAACAGGTAAAAGCAAAATATACAGAGAGAGAGAGCACAAAATATATAGACAATATTACATGTGTATGGGTGCTTAACTGTGGTACTGTAACACATAACTTTATAAACTGTGATATTTTTATTCTTGTAAGACCTTGCAAGATGTATGGGGTAGTCTGAAATAATCCTCAGTTTTCAGATACAGCTCAGAAGTTTCCCAGCCACCTAGAGAAACCTGCATTTGTCTGCTCAGAGAAAGGGGGAAGCAAAATTGATTACAGGGAAGAGATGGGGTGAAAGTTTAGGGGGACCCTAGGCAGGCCCAAGAGAGCATGGGGAGAATTGTGGGGAAGGGGGTAGGGTAGAGTTGGGAGCAGGAGCATCGTCCTTCATGCTTCTAAGTCTGCCTCGCCAAACCACCCAGTCTTCTGAGCTTGGGACTTGGAAACACCCATCTTCTCTAGTAAAGTGATGTTTTTAAGGAAGGGGAAATAACTGGTTCTTTACACGTAAAGACTCAAGAACAAAAACAGTCACTTCGGTAAACGTGTGAATTAATGCTATGCCTTTTTTTTTTAAGGATCATTTCTTGAGAAAGGCATTTTAATGTAATTATAAGCTATCAAGAAATAGGAAATAATTTTGCATTTTTTGTGCGGGCCTGAATAAGTAGATCCATTGAGAGACAGACAGAGCAAGTCACTTAGAATGCACCAGTCAACAGCAGAAATGTAAACATACTTCAGCTATGCTCTCTACGCTTGTATTTCAGCGTGTTGCAGAACAAAACTGCTATTAATGCAAGCTGACTGCTGCTCTCGTTGAATTCAGTAGTGAGTTCCTAACAAAATCCAGTTTAATTCACAGACCATAGATCAGAACTGCGTTGTCTGACACTCTGGAAACCCAGGAAAGCAGGAACTTGCTGCAAAGGAGTCTCTGGTCCATCTTAAAATGAGATGTATGAAGCTGCTTTGCAGAGCTCAGTAGATTTAGAGTAACAGCAAGTGAATAAAATGCTGAGGCCGACAGATCTTTGCCTCTGTGTTCCACCGTGTGCATAAAACCTTGTCTCATAGATAGGTACATCTGCCATGTATTTATCTTCATCTGGTACCAGTCCTAATGAAACAGCATCCACTAAGACGTTGCTTCATGAATTATGATAATTATAGAAAGCCGCTATCAGAATCTGTTAGAATCTTAGCCTTTAAAAAGTAGCAGATTACTGGAAAAGATTGTGTAAAAATCAAACACAATTCAATTGGTTGTGCTGAAACTAGACTTATTCTGGCAGCTGTAGGGGAGCAATATTAATTAGTTTGTGTTCAAAACCAAAGTAACTTCCTCATCATATCTCTTGATGGGGGTTTTTTTCGGGTTTTTTTGGCACAGGCAAGGTCCTGTGCAAATGCAGTATTTTATTAAAATACTTAATAAGCAGATTCTCTGACCCAACAGAGGGAAAAAAGATGCCTGTCCACTCTTAATTTTCCCTACCAATAATTATTTCTACAGAACATAAATTACATATTGTACAGCTTTATTCTGTTTTCAGAGGATAATTATACTAGAAATTCCAGCCTTCTTTCTGTGGAGGGACTTTTTCTCAGAAACCACACCTCATAGCGGTCTGTTTTTCATTTGAGAAGGGTTGAATTCCCATTTATGTCAACAAGTTTTTATGGATTGACTGTTTTCAAAAGATATGGGAAGCCCTTATTCAGAATTCGTAATAATTCAGTCTGGAAGACGTATTGGAAGCTGATGATACAGGAATGGAAACTTTTTTGCCTGTGAACTCTGTTAGAAATTACTCCTAATTTCATGCCTGCTATTGTAACCGAGAGAGGAGCCTGTAATTCCTCTTGTAGTCATCTGAGCATCTCCAGTAGCATCTCCATGCTGAGGGGGCCTTGGACTGGGTTGCAAATGAGGCAAGGCAGGATGCAAAACAGACAGTACCATTTGCTCTGTGTATGAGATTGGAGACTTTTACAGATATATTTACATAAGCCTTTAAGGAGTTTAATAAACTGAAAGCCAGGATCTTAAAGTAGGATTCACAACCCATTTGTAACATGCCAGGAGGGACAAGTCTTTCATTCTCAACATTAAATACTGATGGACCCAGTATACTTTCAATTTCCTAAGAGCAAACTACAGTTTCAGAAATGTTCCAACTTAGTGATAATCTGATAGTCACGCTTCACTGTTTTTAACATCCACAAGAAGCAAAATTATATTCCTGAGTGAGTAATTCTAGTAAGGGGGTAGCAGAAAGGGAACTGAATTCAGTTTCCAAAAAAAAAAATAATCCTGTTCAAGTCTTACTTCTGCTGGAAAAGTTTGTTTGGTTTTTTTATGTAGCTGTGGTGTACTCAGGGCTTTTTTTTTTTTTTCACCATTGCATATGCAAAATCCAGACCTGCAGAACTGTTCCATGTGGTG